GACCCCGCTCCAAAATGGATGTCTCAGGACACCCTCAGCCTTATGGGCTAGATGCGTGGCTCCAAACTGCCCCTTTAATACACCCCAAGTCTCGCAGATGACATTCACACAGTGTCTTTCCGAGGCCTTAGTTTCTCTTGGCCTCTGGTTGGCACTGGGCTCTCTGCAGCCCTGTCTCTTTCTCTCGGCACCCCTCGGTGCTGGGGTCCATGCACCCCGGATACTGCGCCTACACTGGTGCTGGGGTCCCCACACTGTAGTGGACCCCCAATGAGGACTCGTCCTTCCCCAATAGCCTCAGCCCAATCCATCGGTTTTACAAAGAAATCAAAATATGAGCCCCTCAGCTATAACATAATTCAAGCAGCTCAGGGTGTGCTCCGTCCCTGTAAAAGAATCACTCTTCCCCAGCACTGCAGGCTTTGTAGGCCAGGGTATCTGGTGAGATCCTGAAGTTCCTTAATCTTACCAGAAGCTGAACAGGCAGTCAGGCCCCTTCCCTTAGCTTCCTCTAGGAGAGCTCCTTCCCCCTTGGCTGCTGGCAGGGAATTTACTCTCTAGTCCCAGCCCTGGGGTTTATATGGACCCAGGGCCCTGCCTCTTCCCGTCAGCTGACCAGGTGCAGGTGCAGGTGCAGGTGCAGGCTAATTTGCTTGTTAGCCTGTTGCCATGGTAACCTGTACCTGTGGGCTTCTGTATGGCTCTTTAGGCTCTCTCCCCAGAGAGTTTCTGCTCTTAGAGGAGCAGGCACTTTAGCCAATTCAGTTTTTTCAAAAGTATAAGGTTTTTGGTCATGTCTCCTCTGTGATGCTGTTCAACTGATTGTCCAAGCAATCTACCCAGGAGTTATTAGCTAGTACATACATGCTTCCAGTCATCGCTAATTAAGAAAGGCTTATCATAGAATCATAGAAAATTAGTGTTAGAAGGGACCTCAGGAGGCCATCTAGTCCAACCCCTTGCACAAAGCAGGACCATCCAACTAGATCATTGCAGCCAGGGGTTTGTCAAGCCAGGCCTTAAAAACATGCAAGGATCGGGATTTCACAATCTCTTTAGGTAACCTCATTCCAGTGCTTCACCACCCACTGTCATAGTCATTATATCATGCTGGTGATGATTTACACAAAAGAACTGCCAACTAACTGGAAAGTACAAGTGACTGGAAAACAGAATTTCTGTTCCCTGGGAAATTCCAATATTTTGAACTTTATTTTCATCCCAAACTAGCATAAATATTGAAAGTTTAGTATTTCTTGTGGAAACTTCAAAAAGTTAATGTAAAAACATCAAAATATTTCATTTTGATATTGTCAATACATGTCACATTAAATATTACACAACAAAAACAGTTCCATCCAAATGTTCCTAAAGCTGAGCTGAACAGTGAGTCAAGGGAATGCCAGACAGGCCAGAGAACTGAAGGTTACAGTATTAAGGGCAGCGATAAATTTTAGGAAAGGGAAATGCAATAGACTATTTGGATTCTGGATAGTTTTTGGAGATAATATTGGAAATACTCAGTAGCTTTGGATAAAAAAGAAGGAGCAAAGTTGAAAAGTAGGTACTGATTATGTAAGCTTGTGGACTACAGGGAATGCTGAAACAGCTAGTGGCAATATAGAAGGAAGGGTGATGGAAAGATGAAGAGTTGACTTTACATAAGAGCAGGACCCCTAGTTGGAACACAAATTTAAGTTCTGTAAGGGATGGTGTTGTATCTCTACTTTCCCCTTGAATGCAGTCATTCTGGTCTACTTAAAATCCAATTTACTAATAAGACGACTAAGTTTTTCAGAACATGAAAAACGTATCTGTAGAGTCTACAAGAGATTCTTTGAATGGAAAAAGCAGCTGATACCACCAGGATTATTCCTGCCTCAGAATTTTATAATTGCAATAATACAACAGAAATGGACCTCTTACTCTGTACAATACAGTATGCTAGCACAGAGCCTCTTAAAATACATGTGAACAGATTCATCCATCAAACCTCCATTTTATTTTGTCTTTCTCCCTTTTTCCATTTTACTCGTATTATAGATAAAGCAAAATAATCTGTGAGGAAAGTGGCATTTAGAAGTCATAATATCCATGGTCAGGGATAACAGATTCTGGTTGTGATCTCCTTTGCGGCAGCATCTTAAATCAGGGAGAAAAATCTCCCATAGTTCAACATGCTCCATTAATTTCCTCAGGTTGTAGTGTTATTATGGAGAAGCTGAAGATCAAACTATAACCACAATGTAAAATACTGGGTTTAGAGGGTGCTCCTGAGTTTATGGGATATATGGATATATATGTATATTGGTTATTTTAAGCAAAAATATTTATTCTGTTAATGATTTGGGACCCTAATATTTAGTTATTGTAAATATTTAAATTATATATCACACAATCACAATAATATACCTAGCTATTCAATTTCAACAAATCTTGTTGGGAAACAACCAATGTTACACAAGTAAATCCTTAAAATAGGAGATTATGAAAAAGTTATAGTCATTCGTAATAAATGAATTATCTCAGCAACAATTCTGACAAGTGCCAGCAACATGAAAATGATAGAAACGCTTAAACTTACAGTTCTATGGCCTTGTTCCACATGATGACATATCCCGAAAGAATGAAGGACTCAATATTAACAATGTGTGTATTTCCCCTTTCTGTGCCAACATAGAGCCATTTACTCTGGAAAGGTAGATGGCAGTAAGTAATCCTGCAAAGAAAAAAAAACATGCAACATAAAGCTGTGCCAACGAACAGAATTTCAATAAGCTTTCAGTTGAAACAGCTGTTCTCTCTGTTTCCCAGGGTTCAGAACAGGCTGGGCAGTGGCTCAAAAATGTGGTCTTTTGCACACTTCTTATAGCTCTGTGAAAAAGTGGCAATATCACATGATGTGGACTCCCTTTTCCACAGGTAACCAGGTTCTTTATAACAAGGAAGCTAGGAACTAAAGAGGAAGAACCAATCTACTTGTGACTAGTAGGAGAAGGCAAGAAAAGTCCTCTTAATATAGTTATGTGCAGTCATGTATGGAAGGTAGTATACAAAACAGCCTTTTTGTGAATACATGGACCACACTATGAAACCATCTGATTTAGGCTTTCTGATTGGTCTCCTTTGTAAAAAGCTATTTTTTCAGTTCAGCAAACAGGAAATTAATGAAACATGAGCATGTTTAATGTTTTGTACAATGGAAATATAACATAATGACTCACATAAAAAATGTTCACTTTATTAGCTCTTAATCAGTCTGGAGGGTATGCAGCTGGATAGAGCATTACCAAGCGCAGTCAAGCAGAGAGCTGATTTATACTCTCACTCCCGCATTTATACTACTTTTACAGAATGATGAAGTAGTGCTCTATTGCTTAGGAAGAATCTCGTGATGGTCTCTCATGATAATATACAACAGTTTTGACAAAGATGATGAATGAACAGAGTCAGTTCTTTTGACGTTATAGTATTTACATTAAATTTAAAACCAAATCCACATGACGTATGTAAACTGTTGGTAGTTCAAATCTAATTACATGTATGCTGCCTACACAGGCTGAAGCTTAATCTGATTCTACAGTGCATTCTATCACTCAAGAGGTCTTTCTTTATTAAAAGGGATTGTTTTGCCTCGTATGCAATACTTTATTATTTCATTATATTTGGCATTCATTTGATTCCAGAAACAAATATTTCTTGCTTTGAGATACAAATTAGAGTTAACTGCTAAATAAATATTTTATCATGTCTTTTTTTCCTAAATGATGTGCAGTATTTAACAATATGCGTATAACTAGTTCATACTTTCATGAAATAATAGACTTTGGGGGCTGATTTATAATGAAGTGACTGTAATCAAAGTAATCTGCCCGTTTCAAAGACGCTAAAGTTACTTACGTCCTCTGGGGCTAAGAATATTTGAAACCTCCTAAACTGAAAGAATTGTTTCATTTTGAAACTAGTTTGCCTTATATCTCTAATTATTCTCTATGTGGTATCCTCAGCAAATTATATTCCTTTTTCTCCCTGCAGGCCCTACACAATACTTTTAATGGCTATGTACTTTTGAGGCTATCAAATCATATTATCAGAACATTTTATGCTGGATGTACTCAGGTGAGCTATTTTATTTTTGCCTTTTATATTGCCCCAGGTTCAAGGAAATTGACTTGTGCATCCTTGAAATCCTCACTTAGGCTGCAATTCACCTTGATGTAGAAGGCTAGCAAAAAGTCTCTGCATTTTATACATCTTATTTTGATGAATAAATTGGAACACAGACATTTGACTTGACTCAGTATGCGATAAATGTAACTGTTAAAGGCCTAATGGTGTCAACAGCACAGACTGAACTACCTTTATGACATGCAAGTTCAGGCCTTTAGACACAGCTTTTTAATATCACAAAATCATAAAGAGGTAGGACTGGAAGGCACCTCCAGAAGTCATCTAGTCCAGCCCCCTACCAAAGGCAGAGTCATCCTTCTCCAAACCATCCTAGACAAATCCATTTTCTAACCCGGGGTTGTCAACCGGGGGTACTTGAGAAAGCCCTAGAGAGTATGTGCAGGCGGGTGGAGGAAGCTTGCACATAGTGGCTTCTGCCGCTCTGCATTTGGCCACACACCCTTCTCCCCTCCACCCCCAGCCACCAGGGGTACACTGATCCAAAAAGGTTGAAAACCCCTGTTCCGACCTATTAGCAAAGCTACACAGTCAACCCTGGTAAAACCACAAGATGTAACATCCTAACCTGCCACACAGGTAATGCAGGTGGCTAACATATTGCTGCTGTACAGATTGTACGCATGAGAGAGCCAAGGAAAAGGGCCATGCCCCCTGCTACAGAAGACGACAGAACTCCCCCCTCCACAGTCTGTACCAATCTGACCCTGGGGTAAAATTCCCTCCTGACCCCAAATACAGCAATTGGTCTGACCCCGAGTAGAGGGTAAAATACTGTAGCCAGGAACATCCAGGTTAGGAACCTCTTAACAGGAGCAATGGGAAACCCCAGTAAGAATCTCCAGCCTTCACTGCAGTCAACGCTCAATACTTCTGAGGAAGGCTTAACTCCCCACTCCTCCCACCCAAAACACACCCCCACTGACACGTGCTGCAGCAGGAGAGGGAAAATATCCCTCCTAGCCCCACATAGCAAGCAGCAAAGCAAAGAAGCATGGGAAATATAGGCACAGCTACTATTAGATCAGCACTGACCAATGCCTGTCCAACCTATTCTTGAGCTCCACTGATGGAGAGTCCATAATTACTTTAGGCAGTCTATTCCACTGCCTCACTGTTCTAAAAGTGAAGTTTTTCTTGATATCCAATTTAAATTCTACTGTGCTGCAACTTCAAGCCATTGTTCCTCGTCTTACTCTCTGCAGCAAGAGAAAAGGTGTCCATCTCTTCTTTATGGCAGCCTTTCAGATGTTTTAAGACTGCTATCATGTCTCCATTGAAACACCTTTTCTGTAAGATGAACATTCCTAGCTCCTTCAACATCTCTTCATATGACTTGCTTTCCAAGCCCTTTATCATGTTTATGCCTACCTGTGGTTCCTCTCTAACTTTTCCAAGTACAATTTAAAATATGGAGCCCAAAACTGTGGAGAATACTCTAGATTAGGCTAACCAGTGTCAAGTAGAGAGGCACTATCACTTCCATCTCTTGTACCTAATCCTTTTTGTGCATCTGCATCACACTGCAGACTGATACTGAGTCTGTGCTCTACCAAATATTCCCAGATCCTTCTCCACAGTGCTGTCATCCAGACAGGTGTCACCCATTTTGCATTCCTATTTTTGATTATTTTTCCCCAAGGTAGCATCTCGCACTTGTCAGCAATGAACTGCATTCTGTTAGCTCAAGCTCAACTTTTCATTCTGTTGAGAACTTTCTGAATTGCCCTCTGGTCCTCTAATGTGTTCTCAGTCCTTTCCAGTTGTGTCATCTGCAAACTTCCTCAAGAACTTCTCCATTCCAGCATCAAAATAATTAATAAACATATTTAACAGCACTGGACCCAGGACAGATCCCTGTGGGGCTCCACTTAAAACTTCCTGCCATTTTGACATAGATCCATTTATAATTACCCTTTGCTTGTGGCTATTGAGCCAGTTCTCTGTTCATGTTACAGCAGTTTTGTCTAGCCCACAGTTCTCCAATTTGTTTATAAAAAGATCGTGGGAGGCCTCCTCAAAAGCCTTGCTGAAATCTAGATACACTGTATCCATAGCATTGCCTTAGGCCACCTAAGCAGCTAGTTTGTCAAAGACTGACTTTGTTTGACTTGATTTGTTCTTAGTAAATCCATGGTAGACTTCCTGAGAATATGCTCCAGTAACTCCAGGTAGAGGTGGGACTAACTGGTCTGTAGAGTTCCCTGGTCCTGCTTTTTGCCTTTTTTAAAGAGGGAACTATATTGGCTCTGTTGCCCCAGGAATCCTTTTACCAAAGACCCCTAAGGATTGACACGGGCCCTTGTCCGATTTGGTATCAAATTAACTTTATTTAGTAACCCCTAATCTCATTACATGTATTCTTCCTTGTAAAAGGCTCTTTTCCAGTCTTCTGGTACCTCACCTGTCTCCCATAACTCCATAAATATTACTGCCAAGGGCTCTGAGATCATCTCTGCCAGTTCCTTCAGCACCCTGGGATGAAATTCATCTGGCCCTGATTACCTGAATTAATTCAGAACCATCAAACGCTCTCTAAATATCTCTTTTGTTATCTTACCTCTCAGCTTATTCCCTTCTTTATCCAAATAATTTTTATTAGGTGCCAGATTGCATCTTAATTTTTTTGTAAAGATGGAGGTAAAGTAGCCGTTGAGTAACTCCACCTTCTTTGCGTCCTCCGTTCCGCTAACCTCATGCTTTCTCTGTCTCAGGATCTGTAATTCTGTCACATCATGATTGCTTCCTCCCAAGCTTCCCATCACGTTCACATCCTCCACCAATTTTTCCCGGTTGGTCAGGACAAGATCCAAGATAGATGGTTGTATCCTCAATCTTCTGGAACAGAAAATTATCCTACACACTAGGTCTTGAAATGTTATGTTTGGCTTGTGTTGTTCTTCCAGCAGATGTCCAGAAAACTGAAGTTTCCCATCAGTACCATCTCATAAATTTTGGATAACTTCATCACCTCCTTTGTCACTGCTTCATCCATCTCTTCTTCCTGACTTGGTGGTCTGTGATAAATACCTACCATTTATCTTCATCTTCATCCAAATCCATTCTGATCTGCTATCTTCTTCCTCTTGAACCAGGGAACAAGTGCATGTGTTTTAACATACAAAGCAACACCACCCCCTTTTCTCCCAACTCTGTCCTTCTAAAATAGAGTACAGGCCTCAATGTTGAAGTTCTAGTCCTAAAAGCTGTCCCATCAGGCCTCTGTGATACCTGTCAGATCACAGTTCTTTTTACAGGCTGTGACTTCTAGCTGATCTTGTTTATTTTCCATACTTTTTGCCTTTATATACATACATCTGAAGTATTTTGCATTTTGACCTGGTTTCTGTTTTGTATCATTTGTTGCTATTTTGTGTCTCTCTGGCCCTATCTCAGAGTTGGGCTGCTTCTTCTGGTCCTTTCCCCTCTGACTTGTTTGCTCCATTGCTGGAGAGTTTTGTTCACCATTCCCTTGTGGAACTTAGTTTAAAGCCCTCCTTTCTAAGTTGGTCAGATGATGCCCAAAAATAT